TAACAACCTTTGTAACATGCACTGCCAGCACCCCACACCCCCCCCCCCCCCCCCCCCACAAACAACTAAACGCAGTAGCTGACAAGGAGTTTTCATGTAACTGAAAGACTTTGGATTATGAATTTCCTTTCTGTCAACATGCTGATGTGCTACAGAATGACCTTTTGTTTGTGTGAAGGCCCCTTGGCTCCCTTTTATACTTTCGCAGTATATGTGGAATGTGCTGTGCAGCCATTTCCTTCTTGTGCCTATTGAATATTATGATAATGATACCCATCAAAAACCAAGTAACATGTTACTCTCACCATTACAGAGTCACTTAAAGGCGTCGGAACACGTGTCAGATGTCCTGATGGGGAATTTTGACTATCATCAGATGGTGCGTGGAGGAAAAGCTGAAAAACTGAACACTGTCCTGAAACCAAAAGTTTCTGCATTCTTGGAAGAGTGTGGCTTCTTCTATATGGACAAAGATGGAGTGCACAGGTCTGGGAGATTTGTTCTTTCATGTCATCTAATAACAAACTACATAGGTTCACAGTTAGAGTTTACACACACTTTAATTCTAGATCTTGCTTGTTTTGGGGGTTTACATACATCTTTAATAAAATGGCACATTTCAGCTGATTGTGTCCCAGAGGAAAAAAAAAGGAAATAAAGCTGAGGATGGGAGAGTAAAGGGCAATGTTTGTTGTCACCGTTGAATACAACAAAAAGTTAGGCTTTATATAAAAATAAATAAGGATATTGTAAAGTGACCTTGAAACTATGTAAATATTGAAGGTAATTTGTCTGTTGAGAATGAGTTCATTAATTAGATGTACAGTGCCTGGCCACACAAAAAAAAAAAAAAGTCACAGACTAATATTTCATTGGACCGCCTTTAGCTTTGATTATGGCACACATCATTCGCCAGGGCATCATTATGATAAACTTATGCAATGTCACCACATTTATTTCCGTCGAGAGTTGAATCTTTTCACCAAGATCTTGTGATGATGGGAGAGTCGGACCACTGTGTAAAGTCTTCTCCAGCACATCCCAAAGATTATCTATGGGGTCAGGGTCTGGACTCTGTTGTGGCCAATCCGTGTGTAAAAATGATGTCTCATGCACCCTGAATCCCCTCTCACAATTTGAGCCCGATGAATCCTGGCATTGTCATCTTGGAATATTCCCATCCCATCAGGGATTAAAAAAATCCATTGATAGGAAAAACCTGATCATTCAGTATTTTCAGGTAGTCAGCTGACCTAATTTTCTGGGCGCATAACATTGCTGTACCTAGACCTGACCAACTGAAGCAACCCCAGATCATAACACTTATCCAATGGAAGGCTCTGACCTATTTGCTTCGCTAAACCTAGGTGGCGACTTACTTTTTTTTGGCCAGGCAGTGTAGTAAAGATGTCTAGATGTGTGTTAAGCTGTCCACACACATTGCAGTCTGATTTACAATCGCGTTGCTCATTCTTGTTCAGATTTATGATGGAAACCCTATCGGAAATATAAAAAAGACCAAATATCATACCTTGCAAAAGAATGTAAATTCCTACCTTACTTGCTGCCTGCGGTAACAAACAAGTCTGCTGGGAAAGCGACACTTCGGGGAGTGTCATCTCCTGTGTCCGCCTCCGTGCTTGCTGGTACCTCCCACCTACACTTCTGGTAGTGCCATCTCCTGTTGCTTTAGAGGGTTGCTTTAAAGCGTATCTAAACCCAAAAGTGTAACATAGTGCAGCTTACCCTAGTATTTTGAGAATAGCACATTTCCTGTGTCTCTCTTTATGGCTACACTAGTTTCTCCATTGTATCTATCTGGGCAGCCATTGTTGTGTCCTACAGGTTGGACTTTAGATATGTCTGCCTTTGTTCATTGCCATTACATGGTGAATTGATGGGACTAATAGCTTACACATTAAAGAGAGGTTATTTGTGCGATCCTTTAAACTCACTGGAGGTGACAAAGCTACTGCTTGCCACTATGCTCTTTCCATAATGTTTCTGCTTTATAACAGTGTGGGATTTACATATGACAGGTTCACTTTAAATGCTTCCATATCTCCATGTTTTAAACTATTGCATCCTTTAATTTGGCCAAGTGGCATCAATTATTGGCTACTTCCTCCACAATAATTAGCATCGTTGTTTGGTTTAAAGGATCACTCCACTCAAAGTCCACGGTTAGAGCTTGGCTTCCAAATGCCCAGCTCTGCCTACTTTTCCTAACCTATGTGAAGGTGTCTGCGTGGGTGATTGGCCAGAACATTTCCATGATGACTGATTTCCTATTTCATGGTTTATACAGGACACAAAGTGGCAGCATTAGAACCAACTGCTTGGACTGCCTGGACAGAACCAACAGTGTCCAAGCTTTCTTTGGGCTGGAGGTAACTATGTCAATTACTTATGAAAATGGTTGCTCTTCTTCTTTTTTTTTTTTGTAATACTGTAATAATGTCTTTTAGTGTGGCATTTGTCTATCCATGTGCAGGAGATGATCAAGCCTGTAACAAATACCATATAACAAATAAATCAGGAGGTAACTGCATGTCAGCCTGCTTTGGCTGATAGATCTTGGGGGAGGAATAGGTTGGCTGCAATGGGTAGGTGACTTCAGCAGCAGCTGCCAGCACTGGTCCTCTCCTACTCCCTTTACCTTACCTTTTACATTACCTAAACGCTCCTGTTTATAGACTCGGTAGCAGACTAACCTTCACTTCTGATGTCTGCAGGCACATTTATACAAGGCAATATTGGATAGCACATTCAGGCTGGATTGATTGTTGTGCAGTGTTTGTTTATTCCACAGCAGGAGCCATAATACTTCTTAATATTTCTTCGTGAACGGTTTTCTGCTCGTATTAGTTTGTGCGGAAACGCGCTAAAAAAAACCAATGCATTCCAATGTGCATTGTTTAGATTATTGCAGCGCCCCTGCGGTACGAGACTGCGCGTCCCACAAAATAGTCCAATCATGATTTTAGGGGTGGATTCCACGCGTATGTAACAAAATTGTGTGTTTTTGTGAAACCGTGCGGAAAACGAAAATGCCATATGTTAAAGGAGCCTAAGCCCCACTGACGTCATCAAATCTTATATAGTCTATTCACTTGCATTAGACATGAAGACGCCGAGGGACATACCACAGCCGGAGAGGAGGGGGGATGAGATGAGCACTCAAGGATCAGGTGAGCAAATCTTCTTTATTCTGTCCTCTAGAGAAAAACTAGCAGATAACCCTTTGCAGTCCGGGGGTTAACCCCACAGCAAGGATTAACTTTTTATATCCTGCAGTTCCTCTTTAATTCAGTATTTTTTTTTTTTATTTGTGCATTTATAGATTGAATCGAGGATAAAACTTTATTATCTCATACATTACCACCCTATGTAAACATTTCCAGCCTTGTCAATTGGAAAAGGCTTCCTAAAGTAATTTGAAATATTGCCACAAATGCTTATATTTTGTTCGTAGATCCTTTGCATTAACCAGATGACCACATTATTAAACAATCAGATTAAAACTTGCATGGGCCCCATGAGATGTTACTGTTCAGAAAGGACTCGGATATACAGGAGAGCATTCTTGGAAACACCATATAATGCCAGATGACATTGATGGTAGCCTATAGATCAGTGTCATCCCCTCACCGCCTTTCCCAGAGTGTTATGTCCGGGCGGTATAGGTATGAGTCATCCATTGCTGGAGGGTTGGGACAGAATAATCTATAATTACAGGCCTGTGGGGAATTGCAGCTAATAGACTGTATTTATATGGATGTGAAATAACTAAAGGAAGCGCCTAATTGAATCAGTCTGACCAATTTAATATATGTTAAACTTGCAAATTAGTGTCCAATGGCCTTCCAGTAGCCAAAGGCTCTGTATAGCTGGCTCATCGCTCCCAGGATTAGGTATAATATCAGTGCAGTATATGACTTGTAGATTATCAACAAGGTCATTAACAAACCTACTTAAACATATATGAGAAACACAAACAAGCAGAAACCTTTAGAAGTGGTATACTAGGTAAAACAAATGCATTAACTGTGGCTACCAGACAGTGCACAATCTAAGTCGGAGATCCAGTATAATTGGTTGCATGTGGCAGGCCTACTTTGCAGTTACTGGGAATCGATGGTAGGTGTGCTTTCAGTGCCTGCCTCCCTTCCCTCATTGACTACTGTGAGATGCCAAAGGGAAGGAGTTGCCATAAACTTCTTTTAATTTTCTATTCTCTGTTGATGGACACAGCAGTTCTTAAACATTTGGGCTATACTGCCACCTAAATGGGGGATTAGACACTGGCAAACAAAAAATCTGTAGGCCAGTTCTGGATATAAGGGTCTAACTCCCTTATATGAAATGTGGTTGATGTTGGCAGATCAGCAGATTAGCAATAGTGTGAGCCACATGATCTTATCCCTGAACTTTAGCTGTGATGAGATACCTGTCTTCTGTGCCCCATCAGTCTTTTGTTGGCGCATATGCACAGGCTTCTTTGGCCAAAGTGCTGGACAGCTGAACTCATCCGAAAAAAAGAGTTGGCTCAGTGTAACCTTCGAGGGACAGCAAATATTTAGAGCAACGTTTGATAGGATCATCATGGATGCTGTCCAGCCTGGAGTAAGGGTACCTATCCAAAACCTGGCTTCTTGTCTACTCATAAATTCTAGCGTTCCAAGTTGGCTAAATCCACCAAGGAACACCCCTCAGCGTGACGGTGCCCTCCCTCTTTCCACATTATTATTATTATTATTATTATTATTATTATATAGCTGTAGAGGGGGGGTACATTTTTGTAGACACTTGGAAATCTTGCTTCCCGGGGATTTTACAGTGAGTAAAAGAGAAAACTGTTTACAGAGCTTAGTTGCTGAAACACAACCAAATAAATCAGAGGACTGCCTCATCTCTCTTCCCTCTGCTTGTACGACTCCCAGATTTTCATTTAGAGAGAGTGAGTCTAAAAGCAAACATACTTTTCTTACACTCCCTTTAGAAAATGTTTTAAAGCGTTAAAGATTTTATATAAATAATAAGAAAAAAATATAAAAATAAAAAACTGACTCAAAATTAATAGAGTTTTGTGGTGGGCTCCATGCCTGCAAAAGTAATGCACTTTTCGATTTTTCCAGCGAAGCAGTTTTAAGTTACATGTAATCTAGTGCTGTACCAGAAGGTATAAAATTGTTTAATGTTAATATTCATGTACATTATCAGCGCACGCACACACTGTGTGTATGACTATATCATTATTATTATTATTTTATTTTTTTTCCTTTTTGGAATCACGTTAGTGTTTTGTTGTGTTTATTTTAATTTGCTGGCAGAAATGAATATTGCCTTCTGTGTTTGAGTGCTCTCTAGTGTCGCGCTGCTGTAAATATGTGATGAGATTAGTGGCATCTGCTTCTCATGTCCATCATCAGTCACTTTTAATATGTCCCTTGCTTCCGTCCTGGCAGATGCTATTAAAGCAGCTGGAAGTCCTGGGCCTGGCTGAGAAGCCGCAGCTGGTTACACGCTTTCAGGAGGTATTCCGTACAATGTGGTCTACCAATGGAGACTCCATCAGTAAGATTTACGCAGGAACTGGAGCCCTGGAAGGAAAAGCTAAGGTGAGGAATAGATGAGGTAGGAGGAGGATGTGGAATGTGCTTGTTGTTTCCTACATATTTGCAATGCTGCTACTGTCTCTTTTCCATGCATGTCCCTGTACTATGACTGTATCTCTGTATATCTGCTTATGGCGAGCTTGCTTAATGCAATCTGAAATTCCAAATAAAGGGGAACCCCAGGCAGACATGCAATTCAGTTATTAAGTCAGAAGACCAGCTGTTATTTTGTTTTTAGATGCAAAAGCTGATGATCCGCGTAAGTTATGAAGGAATGACCCCGCAGAGGGGTTACTGTGTGTCCAAGGACGCACTAGATATTGAAGATTAGGCAGAAAGTACACCCACCCAATTTCAACAGTGATAATCAATATAGAGACCAGGAACTGGAGGTGCTGCAGTTGTACACATTTGTATGGCATAGTGGGAGCTCACCCTTATAGTAGAGTATGTGAAAGCAACTGATTCTGATTAATTTTTGCCTTCACTGAAATTCTCCTTTTAAGGGCAGCTATTGTATATAGAGTATGAAATGTCTATTAAGCAGCAGCCTATTGGGAGTATCCAGCCATGCATAAAATGTAGTTTTACTGATATCACAATGAGTAAAGCACACGCATCACCTTTGTTTGGAGAGTAAACTATTTTTTACTTTTATATGTTGCATTGTGCTGCGTACTAATGTGGAGATGCCAGTTACATACTGAGAGAGATCTGGACTGTTGAACAGAAAGATATGCTGGGTACATGTAGTGTTTTATTGCAGCTACCAATGGTTTATTACTCATTAGCCAATATTACACCTCCCCAGTATAAATAAATATATTTTGAAGTATTTCATAAAATTAGGTAACCAAAGGCCAGTGATGCATCTTAAATTCCAACACACGGCATATTTGATTTAAATATATATTCCTTAATGGCTACAAAGGATATAAATCCAGGATATAAATTGTGAAAGTAGCAGTGGTATCATCACTCACACAGCCTGTACAGGGAGAAGAGCTGTGGGAGGGGCCAGCAGGTCCACACACTACAGGAAACTAGAGCAGGGGGCAGAAACGAGACCAGTCACCTCGCACTAACAAAGAGCAGCTACCGGCCTTTTTTAGAGAAAGTTCCTGCGCTAATCGCACATTGTCTGGTGTGCTGTGCCCTGGCAGTGTGGAAGCACTGATCCCGGCGGATTACACGGTGTACTTTTTTTTCCCCAGAACTTTATCGACATGTCACAGCAGGGTACAAGGCAGTTGTACTGTGTTGCAACCTGCTGCGTTGAAAAAAGGCAAGGCATACCTTACATTTTCTTCCGCGTACACCACCGCCGCCTTACCGCAATGCGGTAGTCTGAGTGCGCACCATCCGTAAACAAGGCAAATGGCCTTGTCTTGCGTTTGGGGCTGCACTGGAAACAATGACCAGCGCAGCTCCAATGCAGATGGTGTGAATGGACCCTCAATGAAGAATACGCATGTCTCTTGTATCCAGAAAAGATTTGCTTATCCCGGAGTTCAGCTTTTATTCTTTGGTTCCGTGCTTGCAGCTTTCTCTGATTCTGAGTACAGCCTGATATCATGTTTCACATTTCATTACCAGCACTGTTTCATTTCTAAAATTCCTGAGAACATAGCTTTGTAAGTATAAGAGCAGATGTTATGTGATCTCCAGCAGTGTTTTCAGATCTCCTCATATAGGGTTTATCTCCAAACTATCACAGTTTTAATACATGGGCTAAAAGGACACAGCAAAGAGGAGTGGGAGAAAATTTGGGAAAGGATGTAACCAATTATAATGCAGAAAATGAAAGGAGACGTATTGGGAGAGTAAAATGTACTCTTCCTAATACTTAGAGCCGTCGTGTGACACTGCAGCGCTCCATTCCTCCAGCGCTCATTGGGGGGGCAGAAGGGGAGGGGGGCGGGCACAGCTGGGTCTAGCTCTAGAGAGGCAGAGCCAGCTGTCAATCAGGCAGCAGGGTGGATCCCGACAATTTGTCAATATACATGACTCTTGTATACAGAAAAGATTTGCTGTCAGAATGGTGCCGCTGTCGGAATACACAAACAATGACTTCAGCTCATTTTGGCTGCAGTTGTTTTTCAGCCAAAAATTTTTGGAATGTCTTCTTCAAGAAAAAGTCGAAAAATTAACTTTTTGTCTAATTTCAGCTGAGTCAGCAGGAGCAGTGTATGGGCAGCTTTAGCTTCAATAACCAATAGCAAGTTACAGGAGGTGTAAGGGAATGGGCCAGCCCTTGACTTTATTTTCTATAGTCAGTGTATGCTTATTAGAGTTTGCCAGTATTTCCCACCAAGAGATGACGACATGTACATTCAGGCACCATGGGTCGTCTGCACTTTATTTAAGCTGTCACTTTCTCTAGTAGTTTGAATGGAAAGGGGAAAAATCACAGGGGGAAAAATATAAACTATGCTATGTTTAGCATAGTGACAAATTTAAAGTCTGAGCATCAGGAAAAAAAAAAAATTTGCAGCGGGGCCTCCCTGCATTGTAAGGGTTAAAGGCTGGACTGCTCTAGAGGTTGAGAAATAAGCTGCATTATTTGCCCTATTGCTCGCTCCAGCAGCCTTCTACCACACTGTGCGACTGGTCCCCCCCAAAGCCTGTTTCTTTGGTCACACGTTGAGGTCATCATATGCAATGCAAGAATGGGAATGGCTAGCCCATAGCATCGAAAAGAAGAGCGCCGGAGGAGCAAGGGAAAAGTATTTTACAGCCTTTTCCTCTTCCCCTAGGCAGGACAGGCATTTAACCCTTTTGGTACTGCAGGGGCCCCAATTTAAGGGTATTTTTTTATTTATTCCTTTAATTCAGCTTTAAGCACTGATCTTGGCTGAGTCTAGGGTGAGACATTTATACCAGACGGCACTTTCTGTACTGAGCTCAGGATGACATTATATTAATCTTTATCATTAGGATCTCCATGAAACTATTGCCCTTTTTTAGTCATCTGTAGCTGAGAACAGCCCAGGAATGTTCCCATTGCATTGTTTTTGCTCTATCTTGTGTCAGTTTGCCAAGGATTGACGTTCCAGGTGTAGCAGACAATATTAAAATCCCCAGTTAGTTTTTTCTGTCACGCACAGTAGATAAGCAGGGACCGCGTCAGAAAAGTGTGTCTGCATAAGAATAGTATATTTACATGCATCATCCATGCAAACACCGCTGAGCTTATTCACTGAAGCAGTGGAAGTAGGAAAGCTGAAATGCAAAGTGCTGTTACCTGTAACAACCTTTTTATTTTCCTGACGTCAGATTCTCAGGCCTTGTTTAGACAGGCCGCTGAGGGGCGCAATCAAAAGAGTTCTCTTGTTCAGGCAGTGGTGCTGAATGAGAAAACTTCATATGTATGGCCAGATTAATGGAAGGTAAGAAAAAGCTGCTGCAGGGGCTATCTTTCGGGTGACCCTGTCGTTTTTTCTTACATACGGTACAGGTTCACGTTAAACGAAATCAGTAACCCTATGTATGGCATGTTTCACAACATTGTGCTGCATTAACGTGCATTACGTGTGTTGGTGTCCCATGGTGCCATTTATTTGGAACCAATCAGTATTCATCTTTCACTGCTCCTGCATTGCAGCGCACAGTAATGCATTGTACTGCCCTACCTCAGCCCAACATATGTTGTGAGGGGGTACAAAAACAATGCAGCAGTTACAGTATGATTTTTTAGTTCCCTTGTGTTGCATGCATGAGATCCAAACCGCAATGGCGCTGCATGCTCTCAAAGGTGCTGGGTGTGAGTGAGAGAGCTCAGGGTGGGAGTCACCAGTGCATTGATAGACGAGAGGTGGAGCAGTGGTACAGATTCTAGAAGATGAGAGATGTGAAAAAGAATTTCCCGCTGCTAATGCTGAGTTATCATAAAGCTGACCTGGACTTGCTGCATTTGAAGGTGCACATCTACTTAATACATCTTTAAGCAGGTGAAAAACATATGTATAATGCACGTATTATAAATCTGTAATACATATGTTAGGAATTTTCCATGAAATAAGTGCGTTTTAAAAAAATATGCACTTATTCTTTTTGCCTCCTCTCCTGACCTAAACGATCCCACACTCGCCCTCCACATCAATACTTACTGAGATCCAAGGGCTGCTACCCCACTGTTTGTTGATATCAAGTTCTGCAACTCTACATACATCTCCTGGCTGGGAGACATCCCCATAGACGTCTATGGGGCTGTAATGTACAGCTGCAGCCAGCAGAGGGAGCTGGATGTAAGCAATAGCAGAACTGTGCCTGGCTGGGAGACCTCTCCATAGATTTCTATGGGGCTGTAATGTACAGGTGTGGCCAGCAGAGGGAGCTGGATGTAAACAATAGCGGAACCATGACTGTTGGATCTCTAAGTACGGATCTCCAGGGGGCGAGGGTGGGATTGTTTAGGTCAGAGGTTGCTATGCATGAAGGTAATAATGCACATGGATGCTATAGAAGTTTAGAGATAAAATTACATATAACAAACCTAACACTGTTTAGATAAGTTGATGGACAGATGCAGAATGTGGTAAATATCAGACCATGTCCCATGCATGCCAGTGTGCCCCCATCCAAATAATTAAGAGGCTTTTCTTTCTCCTTTTTTTTCTTTTTTCCTTTGTGTTCACTTCTCTCATTCTTGTCCTCTAACATCTTCCCTGCTTTCCTCCTGCTCTCTCTCTCGGTTCTCTCCTGATTTCCTGTAATTGGTGAGTATAAACGAAGTGTCTCAATGCCACATTTCTGTTTCTGAACAAGACTCGTGGTCATGTATTTCCTAGTTTTGTAAAGTGTTTTGAACAGAATTTCCAGTCGAAGCAGCAAAAATATGATGTCAGGAGTTCTTGCCAGCTAGAGTGTTTACATTTAAAAATAGTAAACCCTGAAAATGAACTACTTTGCTGTGTATGGTCTGTTAAATACACCATTAGAAGCATTTTCTTATATCCGTTTGTTAAGCGCAAAACAAAACTTGTTGATCTTTTAAGAAATTCTGAGCTGCTTTGTGTCCTGTGCAGACTATCTGTGTTGTTGTTGTTATTATTATTATTATACAGGATTTATATAGCGACAACAGTTTGCGCAGCGCTTTATCTCCAACAGCCCTCCTAGTTCTTTTCCTGGACTGCAGAATGATTAGCTTTTATGTTGTAGAGATCTGGGAGTGGATGTGGGTGAGTAGTTTAACAAAAGACAACTGGGAGAGCTGACACCACTCAGTCAACAAAAGTGCTGTGTGTTGCCAACCCACAGAAGGTGTGTTTAACTGTTGCACCTACTTGTTACATGTTCCCATTCACATAGAATAACTAATAAAACATTCCAACGTTGCTTCTTACCTTTTTACTTACGGTACTCTTTTCTGGAAACTCCGAAGCTGACGTTTTTCCATTCTGTCATTTCAAGGAGGGGGCTGAGGATTAATTATTTAACAGGGTTAAATAATTAACCCTGTCTGTACTGCAGATCTGGCAGATCTCATATGTTGTAAACCAGATTTGAACACTGTCTGCCCTAACAAAGGGTCACAGATCTCAGTTCTAAGCTCCTTTCATTGTATGTTAATGAGCGAAAATTCAGTCTGTCCCCACTTTGTCTGGGAACAGATTCACGTTGAAATTGTTCAGAGTAGCTTGTAGTCTACCCAAAGCACTGCTCCACGGGAGCACATAACAAACATAAAGTGGGATTTTCTCAAATTTGAATGCTAGAGTGGTAATACACTTGCAGGGTTGTTAAAGGGATAAAACGCAGAGAAATGTGCATGTATGACAGAGATGTGCTTCATATGTGTTTCCTTTTTTTGGTAATTTTGCCTCGACATGCGCTGCTCTTCAGGCTGCTGGAAAAATACCCCCCCCCCCCCCCCCCCCCCTTTTCACCCCCCACAAAT